TATATATATATATATACCTATATACCAATAATCAGTCAAATTAAAATATTTTCTTAACATATTTTTTAGAAATTTATTAAAGATGTTATCAAATAAAAATTGTTTTTTGTATAGATATTTAATAATAGCACGTATAAGATGCACGAAAGATTGTATAATGATTTTTTAATTTTATATTTTCTCTCTGTATAAAATAAAGCTATAAAATATAGTTTATAACTTTCAAAATAATCTTTATTTTCTTATTAATAAATGATAATGTTTTTATTATTTTTTGTAAGTTATCCTGTCATCGAACAAGTATAATTCCAATTATGGCAATAAAAAAAAATCATTTTTGCAAAAAGTTGATAATTCTAAAAAATATGTTTATATAAAATATTACTTTGTTGTGCGATTTATACAGCTTATCTAAGAAAATAAGAATTATGAAATGTTTGATAAATATTTATAAATAACATTATCGTTTTTTACTTTGTAAGAAATTATTTAAGTTTTCTTTTTTGCAGCTGTATTCTGGTGGACATTCCTCGATATTGCCATACTCAATCGCCTTCCGGAATTCTGCGATCGTCTTCTCATAATTGGATTCTGCAGGTAAGCTTCTGCGGAAATGCAAATTTTACATACAGTATATTCGCTGCTTTATTTTCGCAGTAATGTTGTGTATTATTTTCTATTTGATTTTCCATGAATATAATATTTCTCCTTCAATATATTTAATTTTAGACATTAAATAACTTCTGATTTAAGAGGGGTGGGGGAAGCATACACTCAAAAGAATGAAAAAGATGTCTATTTTTACGAATTTTTTTTCGAATACTATTAACTTTATTCAAATAGGTTTTGATCTTTATCTTATACACTTATATTAATGAATGTTATATAAAACTTTTAATACAAAATATTAGCAAATATTTACAGCTATTAACCCAACAATAATAGTTTACGATAGCCATCGTAGCTTTCATATAGTTTATTTGAAATAAAAAATCTAAAAAGTTCCTGAAAAATATATTAATAGTCTTTATTGCAGGAATTTTTTTAGAATCATAATTTTTCTTTTTGTAATAAAAAAACAAACAATTTTTTATGAAAAATTGCATCTTTAAATTCTGAAATTCGCCATTTTGTCAAAATTGAGAATGTCTAAAATTGCCTACGATAAGGACAAGATTTATTAATATACCTATTTCAAAAACTTATTGGATTTTAGACAAACTGTGTGAAAGCTATGATGGTTACTATAAACCGCTATTGCTATTGGTTGTAATAGTTGTGTCGGCTTTATTTGTTAATATTTTTAATTAAAAATTTTATGTGATACTAATATACATATAAAACATTAGTTAAAATGCTGTTTAAGTAAAATTAATAATTTTCACAAAAAATTCGTAAAAATAGACATCTTTTTATCCTGATAAAAATAAAAATTAGAGCATAAATCAAATGTAATGGGAAAGTAACAGAAGCTTAAACGAAACTTCTACGAGGCGAAAATTGAAACATCAAAATGTAAAAGAAGCGTAAATGCTTCTTTTACATTTCATTGTTCCAATTTTCGCCCTCTAGGAGTTTCGTTTACGTTTCTCTTACTCTCCAATTTACGCTCCGATTTTTATTTTCATCAGGGTAATCCTTCGATGTAAAAGTCCTTCCTTAAAAAGTGTTTAGTGTTTGTCATGTTTATCGATAGTGATCAATAGTAAAGATTGTGTTTTTGAAAAACGTAAAAGTACCGAGTACTTTTTTTTATACATACCGCAAAATATTTAATCTATAATTTTTTACAATTTTCCTTTAATATTTTGTATACATACTGCGGCATCAACTTCATTGTTTGCAAGAGCATTTCTGCTGCACCGAGATATTCTCTCGCAATATGTGGCTCTTCGCAAGCTGCTCTGTACAAACAGGTATCACCGACTAGATACCCAAGCGCTAATGCAAGCTCACCCTCCGATACAATATTTTCTGAAATTAATACAAAGTTATAATTAAAAACAATTGTGATTATAATTTTGAATTTTGCTACGCATATTCGCCGAGCTTTTATTCCAAAGAGCCGCAGCACATATTAGTATTGCATGCAATGTAATCAATGGCTGCAATTACCATTAACAACGAAAAGTGTATTCAAATGAATATTAACGATTTATACATATGCATTTCGAAATTACCATCTTCCAATTCGCGTCCTTTATAACCGTGTCCTATGTAACCAGCACCGAACACAACTGCTTTAAGCACCAAAAGTAATAACAAATTCGAGAGATTTAAAGTCAGCACCTGTAATATCACATTTACGTTTTAATTTAATTCTAGTTAGTTTATAATTAAATATTCTCGTGAGATATAACTTGATTTTAAAATAAATAATATGCAAGTAAAATTCATCTTAAGCCATTTAGATAATACACGATTTTATTATACTATACCTCATCTGTAAACATCAGCTAACGACTG